AGGATGCCTTAGTCTAACTGGTATCGTTTTTGAATTATGACGATTTTCGAAAAAAATGAGATTTGCAGCGTCTTATAAATTTGGAGCAATATACCAGTTTTTGCATAACTGGATGTAAAATTTAATTTCCTTTCAGTTTTATGTAGGTATTATGGTGTGATAATATGAACATGATCTTCAACGGTTTTGGAGATATTCCCGATTTAGGACTGGTGAAATGGAAGGTGGTTGACGCTTTGCAATACTACTAAAAGTTGAAGTAGGCTTGGAAAACAAACTAGGTAAGCTGTCATTAGTGTTCCACGCATTAAAACTGTCATTAGTGTTCCACGCATTAGAACTGTTTTACAAAGTATTATTTGTTAACATAATAAGGTTCATGAGATATCACCAACTACTCCTGACGATATGCGTCAACGCATTGTAAGAGCTTTTCAAGAAATCACACCAGAAATGTTCAGAAATGTTCAAAACTACTTACAAAAACGGTTTCTATTATGTAGTTAAAAAACGGACAACATTTTGAACATTTGATGCAATAGTGTTTTTTTATTTGTATTTTATTTCCAGTGGTCTTGTTGTGTTTTGTTAACTACTTTTTAAGCATGCCAGTAATATTTCTACCAGTCCCAAGCCTGGTAAAATGCGAGGGGAGGCGCTGCGAAATAAGTATCTATCGTTAAAAACTGAAAAATCAGGAATATCTCCAAAATCGTTGAAGATAGACACCATGATACCTGTATAAAACTGAAAAGAAATTAAATTTTACATACAGTTATGCAAGAACTGCTATATGGAACCTGTATATAACCTTAATACGACCAGATCTGGGATATGGATCCGAAATTTGAGTAATGTTCAATAATGACAAAATATTGCTAATATTATTGGACAGAAAGATCCTCCGATCATATTTGGAGATATGATAGAACCTGGCCAATGACAAGGACGCTAACTTTGAATTATACAGGTGTCTCAGCGAGACCGGTCATTAGACGTTTTTGGGGTTCTGGCCAAAATGAGAATTCAGATTTAAGTATAATCAATTGCGTTCTGTTCGACTAAAATATTTTCTGATTTCTAGCACTTCCGGTATAGTAAGAAAACCACTGACATTTAAACGTCAAAAATATTTCTGACAAAGATTTACTAAGATTTTTTCATTTAAAATTCATTCCAACTTTCGATTAACAACCCTACAGCTTAACAGTTAGTGTTTGCTTAATTATTTTTTTTCTCAGAGATTATTAAATTTTAGAAGAACATCAGAGAGACAAAAAAGTTTTAGAATAGTTTTATCTATCTAACTGAAATTTTTCCAATGTATTTATGATGTTCATAAAAAAAATCTAGGCATAAAGTGAACGGGGGTGGTTACGTTTAGTAGTTTAGAAGGGTAGGATGAAGTACAAATAAGGTCAAAACGTGCCCTATTATGAGTTAAACATATTCCCCAAATTTCATTTTCCTAGCGTTTATGGTTTNTTTTTACACTGTTGGAAATAATTCACGAGCACACCCTATATAATCTGAACGCGTGAACATAAATCCATAATATTTGCGGAGCACAAAGGTCTAGTGTAGACGAGTTTATTCAGGGAGTTTCGAGTTGTTCCGTCGCGGCATTGTTGACTGAGCCGCCCTTCCAAGTGGAACATTCCGTCGCTATGGAGACCGAAGTGGATGGAAAATACCGGTCGTTTTTAGTGTGGTGTGAGGGACCACATTGTTATCGTACTCTGTGCGCAATGGATGGGCGATCGCGTTACTTAAGCGAGTTTGAGCGAGGAATGTTTGTGGGTATGCACATTGAGGGTGTATCGTTCTGTGAAATTGCCCTTCGTCTCGAGCGGTCGTTATCGGCAGTGCAACGGGCATGGTGAGAATGGTCTGAAGTAGGACATAGGTACCTTCAGCCGCGGCCGGGACGACCCTGCACGTCCCCAGCACACGAGGATCGCGCTCTTGTGCTCAGCGCTTTAGCGTCGCGTGTGTGTTCGTCAAGGCAACTTGGAGCTGTTTGGCCACCGGCAGGGGAAGGCGCACTCACTACACGAACTGTACGGCGGCGTTTAGTAGATAGTGGACTGGCGCGCGCGTCGTGCGATACAGCGGATTCCAGTAACACCCGAGCACCGCAGCATACGTCACGAGTGGGTCTACGCTAGGCATAAGTAAGTTGCCGAGTAGAGGGACATTTTGTTTTCCGACGAATCAAGATTCGAATTGAGCACCGGTGATGCTCGAATTTTAGTTCGTCGGAGCCGTGATGATCGTCTACTCGAGCAGTGTGCGCAAGAACGCCCTATCCACCGACAACCGAGCATTATGGTATGGGGTGCGATTACCCATGGTGGACGTACACGTCTGCTGCGTGTATAGCAGACCATGACGGGTCAACGCTACGTAGATGAGGTGCTACGGTCCGTTGTGCTTCCCTACGTTCGGCGGCTTCCAGGTCTGCTATACATGCACAACAACGTACGACAGCACATCGGGCGAGTTGTACAGACCTTTGTGGAAGAGCACCATATACGAATGCTTCCATGGCTAGCTCGGTTTCCGCATCTGAATCCGATCGAACATGTTTGGGACATGACTGGTCGGAGACTTCTACATTATCCGGCTTCCTCGGCTAACATTGAGGAGCTATGGAGGCGAGTTGAGGTGGCATGGTTGGCCGTCCCTCTCGCTACAATATAGCGACTTATAGACTCCATGCCACGTCGTGTAGCGATGGTACGCAAAGCTCACGGGGGATACTCTCGCTATTGATATTTCTCCTCCCAGCAGAGTTGTGCCATTCTCCATGTGAGAGTAAATTATACTACTTTAGTACTACTTCCATAGCAAATTTTATTGCGCTAGACACACGCGTTCAGATTATACAGGGTGTGCTCGTGAATTATTTCCAACAGTGTATAATCAATTGCGTTCTGTTCCACTAAATTATTTTCTGATTTCTAGCACTTCCGGTTATATCGGAAGTCGCCATTTACTTTATTTTTTTAAATGGAAATGGGTCAGAAATATATTTAACGTTTAAATGTTAATGTTTTTCTTACAACTATTATTGTTTTTCAAATTAATTTTTAAATGAAGTTCTATCGCATTTACGCTCGTTCACTCGACGTTTCAAAATTTTAAATAAAACCATAATAATAGTAAGAAAACCACTGACATGTAAACGTCAAAAATATTTCTGACAAAGATTGCAAAGCCTACTAAGATTTTTTCATTTAAATTCATTCCAACTTTCGATTAACAACCCTACAGCTTAACAGTTAGTGTTTGCTTAATTATTTTTTTTCTCAGAAATTATTAAATTTTAGAAGAACATCAGAGAGACAAAAAAGTTTTAGAATAGTTTTATCTATCTAACTGAAATTTTTCCAATGTATTTATCATCTTCATAAAAAAAATCTAGGCATAAATTGAACGGGGGTGGTTACGTTTAGTAGTTTAGAAGGGTAGGTTGAAAGTACAAATAGGGTCAAAACGTGCCCTATTATGAGTTAAACATATTCCCCAAATTTCATTTTCCTAGCGTTTATGGTTTTTGAGAAAAANGCCATGTACTCTTTATATTCACGTTCTGTACACCGCCACCGTAACATATTCTCATTTTGAGGAGTTTAACAGGGCTAAAAATCTTGCAGATCTGTCAAATAGCTATTAAAAATTTACAGATATGTAGGTGAAAATTCTAGCCCTTAGTCACGTATAAAACCTGCATTTGCTAGAACTTGGAACGAGATATCAGGCTAGCTGCGCCGGCGCATATGATATCGCCGATAGATATGATGCATCAGCAACTGCGTTATGGCGCAATTGAGTTGATACATTGCGCTAACTCACTTAGGTGCGCCAGTATCAGTGTGTCAGCGCAACAAATTTTGCTGAGTTACACATGGCTACTCAGAATAGGCTAAGGCCACAGAGGCTAGTCACTGATGATGATAATAAAAGCCAAGAGATAGCCGCCAACTCAGACCTTTCAGGTAGCACCTTTAAATCATCTTGACAAATGCCTTGATATAGGTTCCCTTGCACATATAAAATAAGATAAAAAGTGGTGATGATATGTTATAGCAACACTTCCAGCATTACCAAAAAATAGCGTAAGTACATTTAGAGTCTTTCTTAGACTCTCCACTGACGAAAGTCCTCCACCGATCAATATTTAAAACAAAAATTAAAATTTTTAGTTATATGAATTTTACTAATAAAATACAGTGTTGTGTCAAAATACAGATTTCAGCAACTTTTTCAATTTTAAGATAAATTGCTTTTTAACGATAAAAATCAGCGTTCATTTCAATGAAAAACTATCAATCGGAGGAAAACTAGAATTACAACTGTTATAGCCAACCTCTAATAACCAACAATGCCATAATTTCATGTAACTATTATTACAAGTAATAATCGCGCTATTAACCATCAACGATGTTGATTGTTTTGTTTAAATTAATTACTCAAAAAAACGTAAACTTACTTTCTAAATGTAATTTCATTAATGCTTGTGGTTACCTTTGGACATTATATTAAAGCAATAAACAGATATTAATAACAAAAATTTTTTAATTTGTTAATGGACATCTATTATTCAATAACGGTACTAACCTATATTTGTAGTACACTAAAAATTTTCTGTTTTCACAGAGTCGGTATCATTTGCACCATGATCTGCATAGAAAACTCTTTAGTCGAGCTGTAAACCAATTTTCGGATGATTTATTATAAAGACGGGTCGAAAATTTCTTCAAAAAGAAAAATATACCTATATACAGTATATACATAAGATATAAAATTGTTCTTTGTATACAGAATAAAAAAGTAATCTGTCCTACTATTTGGATATGAATAGTTCAGTAATTCACTTAGAGATGGAGCTGAAAATGTAAAATTTTTTTAGTACTGAAGTATAGAACCACAGAACTAAAAATTGTTGAATACAAATAAATTAACGGTATTATAACATTCAATATAAACAATTAATATTAAATAAAACCATCCACCTCTGTCATTTATTAATTTTCATCATAACACAATACAATTGAATATAAATAACATTACAAATCAGATCTAAGTACATGTCTTTTATATACTATCAAATCATATAATACAAAACCATTACGCTACATTTTCATTAATTCTGCCAGTGAGAATCAAAACCTGCTGCTGAATCCGAATCCGAGTCCTGAAGGTTCCTTTGGACGAGTGCCCTGGTATGACTATTTGGCGTTCCTGGTGTGCTATTTGTTCCTGTATTCTCCAACGGCCTCTTCATCTTTCTTTTGCTTTTTAACACATTTTCCTATGCACCAATAAAAATTAACTATTTATTTAATTTTATTATCATATACTGTTTTCTTTCTATACCTTTCCTTTGCATACTTTAAAACGTAAAAGAATGTATAAGATTTTACAATTTAAAAAAAATTATTGTTAAGGTTATTAAATTACCTGTGCAACATTATCTGCTGAACCCCAACCCTTGTGAAAGTTTGAGGTGTCAATAGGGTTAATTGGCACCGTATTCCCAACACCAAGAAAGTTACTGAAGGCTTCTGTTGTTTTTTTGACGCGTACGTTTAATGATCCTATTCGTAAGAAACCTAAATCTTTTTCTATTTAAAAAAAACAACATTGAATATAACGTTTTTGGGGTATTAAAATCACTAATTACCTGTCGTTTTCTTTCTTGATTTCTCTGAAACGAGAATAGGTTAAATATAATAAGTCTTGTTCTTTATTAATATTTTATTATAACCAGAAATAAATTGCGGATAATACATGCAAAATAATATCATGCAATTTCCAACTAATCTACTTATTCTACATTTGTTATTTTTGGCAGTTCTAATTATACATTGTTAATTGCTATTCGTGCATTATTAAAATTTAAAAAAATCTACGAATATAAAACATCTAAAACTACGTGCAAAAATGTTAGTTACATGCATGCTAAATTAAAATATTCAAACAAAAAAAAAAGAAATAATTCTGAAAAAAAAAATAAAATGTAATATTTTGCTCCTTATTCAAGACTAGAAAAGACTAGATTAAAGTGCTAATCTACGTCTTGGAGGATAGTGTGTATGAACCAGTTTTCGTAGCGATTAACGGTTCATTCGTTTCGAGCGGTCTATGCCACTTTGTGCCGTGATGAAAACTTTTGCGCAAAAAGCTCGGTCCCTTCGACAGTGGCTTCACATGCTTAGCATATCGAATTTCAACCCGTGGGTACTCACTCTGATTTACGATCGCTGTTGCTTGAATATGTGACGTTTTATATTGACTCGGTGTTCTTCCACTATAATCTCTTATACCTGGTCCGGCTCCTATAATAATTAAATTCCCTTTAGAAATAAATTAACTAAATTTCCAAATTTTATTTACCATATGTTTGAATTAATAAATCGTAAACTTTTTCCCTACCAAATTGGGCGGCTATATGAAGTGGTGTATAACCCTGCGATTAAAAAAGATAAATGTTATTTTCTGTTGACTTTTATTGTTAAATAAACATAAAATTAACGTAGAGTACAGGACACATCGACGACCATCAATCATCATAAATACCAGTACCGGTCATTTTTTTGTGCGTAATTGCCCAATTAGAATGGCGGGCAGATTGTCCGGCGCTGACATAAACAAGCGCGAACAATGGCCGGCCCATAAAACTCCATTGTGCGCCGATAACGCTCGAATTCATTCGGCACGAGTATGTTAATTCGGCATAATGCAAATTTATGTGCGGCGGACGTGCGCGTGCATATTTATTTGCACCGAGCAATTTAGACAAATTCGCCGGAATTTAAATTGGGTGCGCGCACGCGTTCAGAACCTGCGCCCTACCCCAACCCAATACCGTTCGATTAAAGAATAGTTAAAAATTGGGCCGCGCAATCAATTAGCCTTAATAATGCGTTAAGCGAACTCGAAATCGGCGCTGACACTCGCAAACGGCCATTTATTAAATGCCGTTAATTCTCTTCGGACAATCGTTTCCAACCGTAAATTTCAAGTGGTATTTTAAATAAACATATCAAACTCTATTTATATGATTATTCTATTCAATGCTAATTATAAAGAGAAATTTATTAAAAACATAGAATAAGTAATCGGTTTTACATGGTGTGCGAGACCGCATTGATTTCTAAACATTAACATTAGATGTTAGCTAACTTTAAAACAATGTAATGCAGAGTGTTCTTCGTATCAAAGTTGATATGTAAAGTTTTAAAAATTATTTTATTAGGATTTAAGACTTCCTCTTTTTGCTTTTTAAGACTATGTCTTATTTTTTCTGCTTCATCAGGTCGCTTGAGATGCTGAAATTCAGAGTTCGTGTCACCTTTTCGACGGTCGTCCAACAGGTCTTCTCGAACTTGGCCCATTTCGGCTGACACTCGTCGTTATCCTGTCCACGTGGCCTCTCCAACATCTCCACCTCGCCCGCACAAATCGCACCACATCACGCACCCTCAGTTCTTCGCATGTTACTTTAACGTTCTTGGCGTTCTCATATCGGTGTATCTTAGCATGTATTATTATTCATGTATATTGTATTATTTATTTATATTGCAAGCAGTATTTCTCTGATATTAGCAATATCTAGTCGTGTATCAGCAGTATCTAGTCTTCTGTTAGCAGCATGTACTCTTTTACAAGCAGCAGACGGTCTTCTACGATGAGTATCTGTTCTTCTGCCAACAGTATGTAGTCTTCTACATGCAGCAGGTAGTATTCTAAAAGCAATATTTAGTCCTCTGTCATCAGTATCTAATCTTCTGCCCACAGAAGCTAATGTTAGCAGTATCTAGCCTTCTGCCAGCAGTATTTAGTCGTCTACAAGCGGTATCTAGTCTACTAAAATCAGTGGTTGGTCTTCTCTTAGCAGTATTTATTCCTCTGCTACCAGTATCCAGGCTTTTACCATTAGTATTTAATTTTCTGTCAGCAGTGAGTAGTTTTCTGTAAGTAATATCGAATCTTTTTGATTTTTTGACGTATCCGCCTTAGTTTCCGATGCATAACTCAGTACCGGTCTTATTTTGCTCTCCTTGAACATGTATTTATTCCTCTACATGTTTCTTAGATATCCAGATATTCTGGAGCATTTATTAACTTGTGCCCTAATTACTTGGTGCAACTTTCTGTAGCTAAAGATTATAACGCCCAGGTACCAATGGTGTAGACTCTGTGTAAATGGGCGATCATTCACTACCAATTTACACCTGCCACGCTCATCTTCAATATCACCATTCCTTCAGTTTTCTTCTCGGATATCTGCGTTTACTCTCTTCGCAGTAGTTTGGAATCGGTATAGCATTCGCTGCATAACATGAGATTTTCTATGATTTTTTGTCCCGCTCTTGACTTCGTTCACGCTTTAGATTATTTAGTCCATAATCAGATTGAGTAGAAATGGGCTCATAAAGTCGCCTTGTCGGATAGATTCCCTTTTGTCTTTATGCGTGTTTTATTGATCATATTTAGCTGTTCAATCACCTTAATGTAGTTGTATTTAGTCTCGTGTTAAATTATATTGACATGGACAAAGTAAGTAGGTACGGTCTGGTTTCTATGGAAATATATTTTTGTGTATTGCTTCTAGTGAAATTTACTGTATAAATAAAAACATAGAAATGTCAATTCTTCCAATGACGTCACAGCAAAGCCTTTGCGGGGGGATACGTTCATAACAACAGCATTCATAGGGAGTTGGATAACCTTATACAGTATGTTTACTTAACGGACCTTGGTCTGTCCCTCATTACGAAAGACCCATACAGAAATTTGTACAAACCGAAAGTTGTTCACAGTTCAGTTTGCCGGGGGACCATATACAACTCCAACTTCCTTATATTAGTCCCATATCAATTCTACTTAAAGCATTGAAATTTTCCAGCAACCGTTGGATATGTACATACTTACAAGATGTACCATTTTGTTGTAAGCGATTTTGTTTGAATAATTTGAAAACAACTCAATATTCTGTTTGGAGTCGATCATTTTATTGAAATTTGGACTTGTACAATTTGTTTAGACACTTTCTAAAAGTGATGTCTGGTTCCTACCAGACAGTGACCTCCCCCGGCTTCCATCACAAAATCGGGCCTTTTTTCGACGTTTTTAATCACTATGGCGAGTGTTTTGGGCGTTATTTCGGCGATTTTCTGGCGTACGTTGACCTTAAGTTGCTCGAGAGTGTCTGGCTTGTTGACATAAACCTTGCTCTTAAGGTATTACCGCAGGAAATAGTCGGAGGCGTCATATCAGGCGAACACGCCGGCCAGTCGTAATCGACATTTCGATATCAATCGATTTGGAAACATGGTACGCAGCAACATGACTGCTCATTGTTAATTGGGCAGTATGGCATATTACATCATCATCTTGCTGGAACCAGTAGTCCTCCATGTCATTTACACAATTTCTGCACGTTCTTGAGGTGTGTAGCGATCCATGGTTAAAATTGTACTGAAATGACGTTTCCAACGCGCTATCGAACTTGGCGATTTGAGAGCTGGTTGTCAAGTTATTCAAAAGAAACATCGGTTACAACAAAATGGTACACCCTATATAACTCCATCACCACCGATTGCTGGAAAATTTCAAATCAGGTTATGAAATATTTGTCTTCCCTGGACTTTTAATGATGTTAGGCGTCGGCTCAGGTGTGTTACACCAATTATCGGTTTGTAAATATAGGTTACAGCAAAACACCAAGCATAATCCCTACAGAAACCACTATATGTATACAATCATTCGTTTCGTTTCCCGAATCACACTAACTAGACGGTTTGCGCTTATTAACACTATTCTTGAATTGTGATACTAACATAATCCGTTATTGTCAGTTAAACACGATCAGGACTGAGTCTTGGTCGTTTGGATATATTGTTTTGAGCGTATAATAATAGTTACAGTTAAGCGTTTTAATGTTATAATAAATTTAGACTAGAATTAGCCAACGTCGTGTTGAAGGACGTTTGTGCGATGACTAGTACATTATACATTATCTGTGCTGCTGATTAGCATTTGTTAGGGTCAATTTACCAAAATTTTCAGAAGAGTTACTACGATATCTTCACTGGTGATTGTTATGATGATGAACCACTACATGCAACGGCTAAAGTGATGATGTGTCTGTTTTGCCGTACTGTCAATGTCTATGAAATACAACTATAAATTGGCTTAAATACTTTTTGTTTGATATCCTCATCTTTAGGTTTCGAACTGGACCATCCTAAGATGTCGTTCCATTTTAGGTGAAAGTATTTTATTTTGTTTTAATAACACATAATTGTGTGTAAACAATTCTGCTGAATTGATGGTTTTTGTTGTAACTGAAAAACTATTCCAAAATTAAGCCCAAAATTTGTAAATTATGTTCATGTACTGTAAATGTAATATACAGGTTTGCAGTTGATCTGCAACGGTTCTTGTTGCATATTAGGTTGGGAATACCAACCAGTGTGAAGTGAGACCATGTAAGACAAACAATGACAAGTAAAGCCAAGTAAACTTAGTTTTGTACAATAAAGTATTAGTGAAGATCTTGACTTTTATTGACAGAACACACCAAGTTACGTCACGCTTCTTTAACTACTGTATACTAAGTTACTTTAAGCCATGCTTTATCCACATTATCTAACAAGGTGTTATTATGAATTTTTTGATTCAAAGTGTGGTTGTTAAATCAACGTTAGGCGAGTATATATTGTATATTCAGCCGATTATTATCTCATTATATAATTATCGATGGATATGTAAGAAGTTGCACATACAACTTGTTTCCAGTCAATTGGCAAGCATCTTACTTCAAACATAAATCAATCACCGCTTGTTGTTTTCAAAGAAGGTCGTAGATCAGAGCAAATGATATTAGTAATGGATCTTTCTGAAGATATTGCGAAGTGTCATGAAATTACCTCAGTTGGTAATTTCATGACTTTCTTGGTTTTGGCAATCCAGGTTTGATCCTTTTTGTGGATATACTCAGCTGGAAATGCCAACTGCTACAGATATGGAAAAGTCATGTTTCAACTGAAATTGATATACACAAATTATGAGTAAGAAACTTATATCAATTCCTAAAGAAAAGTGAACGTTGTCTTGTAACAGAAATTTATTTCGATATACAGCAGAATCAGCTGCTAATACTGGTAGTTTGATGCTAATAAATTCCTTGCAGTTGCTTCCAACTCTTCGATGTCTTCAAATAGTATTGTTTTACGATAATTTATAACAATTTCAATTCTTTTTTTAATCCAATAAGATTCTTTAATTATGAAAAATGCTACCACGTTGAAAATTCTATGAATTCTACAAATTCTATGAATTTGTCGCTTTGTTATACATTTTTTTCGTGACCTGAAGAAACAGCGACACTGTTTCTTTAATCACTTCCATGTCTTGCCTATCTTTGTGAGATTTTAAACGACATCCATTCGAAACATGTCT